TCCATCTTAAACCTGGTGCTTTTCCGTTTAGAAGGAGGGATGGGAACCCAGAGAGAGACAAAGGATTCCCACCTTGTGCCAGAGCTATAAAAGGGGGTGGAACAGAACAAAGGGGGCTGCCAGTTATGAGCAATCCGCAAGTTACCACCTGAGCTGGAACTAACAAGGACTGTACCAGGGGAAAGGATTGGGCCCAGACTAGGAAGGAGTCTAGTCTGTGAAAGAAGCTTATTGGAACATCTCTGAGGCTGAGATTTACCTGTATTCACCTTTTTTAATGTATTAACTTACTTTGTTCTGTCTGTTATTACTTGGAATCACTTAAATCCTACTTTTTATACTTAATAAACTCAGTTTTCTTTATTAATTAACCCAGAGTAAGTGATTAATACCTGGGGGAGCAAACAGCTGTGCATATCTCTCTATCAGTGTTATAGAGGGTAGACAATTTATGAGTTTACCCTGTATAAGCTTTATACAGAGTAAGATGAATTTATTTGGGGTTTGGATCCCACTGGGAGCTGGGTGTCTGGGTGCTGGAGATAGGTGACCTGCTGAGCAGGTTTTGGTTAAAGTCTGCAGCTTTGGGGGCGTGGACCAGACCTGGGTCTGTGTTTGCACCTGGCTAATGTGTCTGGCTCAACAATCTTGGAATCCCAAGCTGCCAGGAAAAACGGGCTCAGAGGCAAATTCAGCACATCAGGTGACAGTCCCAAGGGGGTCTCTGTGACCGAACCCGTCACAGGGACAAGATCACCGGGACAGAGCTCAAGAGAAACTGCCCCCCCCAGCAGATGGCCCAGCTCTGGCTCCCCAGCTCCCTCACAGCCAGCACCATCTGCCCTTCCCCCCTCAGACACCCCAACAATCCTATCCCCCCCAGCTCTGACCTTTTGGGGGGAGCCTGTCTGCCCTCAAACTCCTGTCCCCCATCCCAGCCCCCTCAAACCTCCTCCCAACACCCCCAACCTACTTCCCCCAAACTCCCAGTGCCCCCAATCCAGCTCCCCCCAAACACCCACCATGGGGGGGTCCCAGAAGCACCGGCGGCTAAATCACTCTGTGCCCTGCTGTGTTCATGGAGATGCAGTATAGGGCCCAAGGTGAGAACATGCCCCAGGCCCTGCCCCACACTGAACAGGGTTAAACATGGGCCGGGGTGGGGTCCAGAGCCCGCAGCCTGCTCAGCCCCATGGCAACCCCCCCATTGACCCCGGGGACCGGCTGTTACAGACACAGCAGAGCAGGAACCAGGGGAGCCGTGGCAGGTGCCGTGTGAAACGAGGGGTTTGTTCCAGCCCCGGCCCCGTTTGCTGGAGCGAGTCTCTAGCCGGAAAATCCCCCGGGTTTGGGCGTCTCCCCGCTGGCCCCAGAGATGCTAGTGACTGTCCTGGGGGGCAGAGAAGCCAGCGGAGCTGGGCTGGAGCCGGCGTCGCCGCGGTTGCTGTTAAAGCCCGACCCCATTTCCTCCCAGGTTGTGGGTTCAGCCAGGGGAGGGGCGATGGCGTCGGGATCCCTCTCTCCGGCTGCTCTGCACAGGATGTCTCCGCAGAGCAGGGTCCGGAAAGCCTGGTGGGCCCAGGAGACAGGGGGTGACAGCCACGAGGGTGAAGCGAGTTGTCAGGGTTCCCTCCCCACTCTGAACTCTAGGGTACAGATGTGGAGACTGCATGAAAGACCCCCTAAGCTTCTATTCCACCAGCTTAGGTTAAAAACTTCTCCAAGGCACAAATTCCTTTCCTTGTCCTTGGACAGTATTGCAGCCAACACCAAGTGATTTTAAACAAACATTCAGGGAGGGGCCACTTGGATCCCTACCTCCCCCCAAATATCCCCCCAAGTCCCTTCACCCCCTTTCCTGGGGAGGCTTGAGAATAATATACCATCCAATAGGTTAACAAAGTGAGCACAGACCAAATCCCTGGTTTTCAGGACACTGAAAAATCAATCAGGATTCCCCTCTAGGCTCAACTACAAAGTTACAAAAACAGGAATAAACCTCCCTCTTAGCACAGGGAAAATTCACAAGCTAAAACAAAAGATAATCTAATGCATTTCCTTGCTATTACTTACAATTTCTGGATTGTAAATTTGTAGATGTATCAATTCAAGATCTTTTTAGAGCTGGGTTACCTGTTTGGTCTCTCTCTTTGTCCCGAGAGGGAAACAACAAAGAGAGCACAAACAAAACCTCCCCCTGCCCCCAGATTTGAAAGTATCTTCTTTTCCCATTGGTCCTTCTGGTCAGCTGCCAACTAGGTTACTTGAACTGATTAGCCCTTATAGGTAAGGGAATTCTGTACCTCTGGCCAGTAGGAATTTTATGTTACTGCTGTGACGAAGTGAGAGAGTTTCTTGGATTTCCTCGTTTCTTATGGGGGATTTTCTTGGTTTTCCTTGGGCTTGGGGCCGGTCATATCAGATGCCCAGCTGGGAAGCAGGGGGGCTTGGGGCTGGAGAGGGGGAGCAGGCAGGGCCCACCTGGATGCAGGGGAGACTTGGATGTGCTGGGCTGAGGGAGGCCAGGCCTGAGGCCCTAAGAGTTTCCTGTGTCGTGTTCAAATGATCAATAAACCCTCCTGTATTACGCTGACTGAGAGTCACTCCGGTCTAGAGAATAGGGTTGCATCAAGCCCTTCGGGGGGTGGAGGCCCAGGGGGTCCAGAGCGAGTGGACTCCCTGAGGGGGCCCACGGCAAGAGACAGGCATGCTAAGGCTCAGAGAGGTGCGGTTCCAGGAGGTGGAGGGGCTTAACCCCTGTGAGAGAGTGGACCCCCGGGAGAAGGGCTGTCGCACTGAAAGGGGCACCCCCCACGGACCGCACGGGGCCAAGAGTGGGCACGATCTGTGAGTCCGTGACAACTGCATACATAAGGGTTGTTACCCTTCCCTTTATATTTATGACACAAGTGTCTTTCTTTAAGGCCCCCAAAGGGTGGTGGGTGGCACAGGCCGTCCCCGCAATATTCTGTCCACCAATGAGGCCTCGTTTCCGACACCCTAATTTTGGGTCATGGATTTCTGCTCCCCCACTTCTCCCGTGTCCCATGCGGGCCCCAGCCGGCCCATGGGGTCTGTCCGGGGGCCGCTCGGGTTGGACTAATCCTGTCTTTCTATCTCGCCAACTTTCCCCCAACATTCATTTGTCCAGGTTCTCATGACGCTGCCTGAACTTCTCACTCACTTTCGTCAGCTGAATCCCCCCACGAGGGGACATTTGGAGGCTCCGGTATCACAGCCCCCACGGGTCGGGGAGATTTGGGGGGCAGGGGAGCTGGAAGCTCTGGGGGTTTGTGCAATAGAAATACAGGATGGGGGGAGGTCTAGGGAGAAAGGGGGGAGAGAAAAGGGGCTGGGGGACCCGCTGCAGAGAGAGGAGGAGGACGGACACCTGGGGACAGTAAGTGCCGTTATTCCAGTGCCAGGGCCAGATGCAGCACCCCACACAGGGGGCCGGGGGCTCTGTCTTGGGGGGCTGCGATTCTGTGGGATGGGAGGGGCCCGACTCTGGGCTGGGCGATGAGCCCTGGTGGTCCTGGGGGATTTAATGATCCAACCGGCGGTTGGGAAAGCGCTAGGGCCAAATGCACCCTGCCCAGTGAGATCCTGGACGCCATGATTGGGCAGTGGGGTGGGGGGGGCCCTCAGCGCTGCCACAAATACCCTGGTGCCCAGCTCCACCCAGCCCGGAATGAGGCACTGAGCCAGGGGTTGCAGCTATAGGAAGCCAGCGATGTCTCATCTCTTCCTGTGTCTCTTACACATTGTCTCTAATCTGCAGGCCAAATCTACCTCAACCAAATCAAGCAGTGGTCCCTGCAACACTCAGGAAACCTTGGGACGGTCAGCCTGGCCAGGCGTCATGCCACTCGCAGCTTGTGGGGAGGAGGGGACAGCTCACCTTCAATGTACCCTGCAGCCTTGGGGACGATGCAGTGGGCTGAAAGCCAGAAGACCACAGGGTCTGGTCTTCAGTCTTTGACTGACCACTATTTCCATGCAGATTCCCTCTCTCCTTTCTTATATTCTGGGTTCAAACCCAGCTGGTGACCCACGGAGGTAAACTTAGTACATGATCATGCAATTAAAGGAAGTGTGGCACATGGCCAAGTGGGCAGAGTTAAGGTTGTTCAGGAAACCTTAACTGTGGCAACTGCTGAGTCTGGAAGGTTTGATGTTGCACCTTTCTCTCTCAGCCTGCAAACCTGCCCATATGCAACACGAGCTGTGGCACCGTGTGAGGAGCGGGCGTGATGGGGAACGTCTGGGTTTGCTGCCCCTTGTGCCATAGCTGAGCGATGATGGCGGCTTTACACTGTAACGTCTGGTTCTAAGGGGCTTTTCTCAGCGTGTGAATTAAATCAACCAGGTTCAAAAGAAAATCAGAGAAAGAGAAATTCCATCCTGGCCTCCCAATGGGTCACCAGCTGAGAGAGATCATCGATATTAGCCATCAAAACAATAGAAAAAAACCCACTGATTTCCGCCTCACCTGTGTGCCCTGAATGTTGCGGAACTGCTCCGGCATCCCCCACTGGCCACTCACTCTAGATCCCGCAGTATTTTAAGATATCCCAGTAGCTTAAACCGCCCCTTTCCCAGTATCTCACCGAAGACAGCTGTCTGAGAGACAGCTTAGCGCTCTCTGGAGGTAGGGGTATGACGCATGCAGAGACTTCGCCCAGCGCCGGGGCTCTACATGGAATCACGGGACAAATGCACTGGTCCATACAGAACCAAGCAACCCTGCCTGCATTTCCCTGCTCCAGCTCACCCATCCTTGAGGGACCATCTGCGCCCAGGGGGTAGACAGCTAGGGCCCCTCCACCACTGGTTTATCTCAGTGTCCGGGGCGATTCCATTGCAATGGGTGGACACTTTAGGTCGACTACCCTCTTTTGTTAGCCCTTTGACACCCGCCTCGGGCATTAAAGCCCTGCCTGGATGCCTGGTGTGATGGAGGCACCGATCTTAGTTGGGGGGGACTGTGCAGTGCCTGCCATGATGGGGACACTTACATTGTCCCGGTGGTGGCCCTTGCACTAACACTGGGAGTGTGGTACTAACAGGGTGTGAGGGAGGAAGAGCCCGGGAAGACACAAGCTGCCAATCACCAGACACACACCCCCTTGGGGGTATCACACTTACTTTATTGAGGCCCGGTCCCTGATCCGTATAACCAGGGCAGTGCCGTATAAATACAGGAGGTGCCGGGCAGCGGTGAAGCCCAGCGCTCGCGGTTCCAGAGGGGGGCGACGTGTGGTACCATCCCTCAGCCCTCTCCCGCCAGCAGCTCCCCTGCCCACCTGGGGGGCAGGGCTTGACCAACCACCCCGGGGACCGGGTGGGCTCCCCCAGGGCTCCCCCCACTCCGACTCATCTGCTCTCCCTTTGCCAGGGCGATGGGGGACCCACCCTGAAATCCGGGGCGGCCATAGGCTGGGATGGGGGCAGAGCAGAGAGGTGGTGGGACGGGCTGAGATAGCCCAGGGTGGAGAGGATGTTGGGGGGCAAGATCACAGTATTTGGGGGGGGGCTAATGGGGGAGGGGGAACAGAGAGGACTGGGTTGGACAGGACGGAAGGGTGGTTGGTAGGCTGGGGCTGGGGGGCTGGAAGGGAGAGGGTGGGATAGACCGGGGGGGATGGAGTCGGGGGTGAATTCCAGCAGAGGGGGCTCCATGGAGTGTGTGGGGGGGCCTATTCCTTCCCCCAGTCGCCTGCGGGCCCATGACGGCCTGTGAGGGGAGAGAGAACCCCATTAGCCACACCCCTGAGACACCCCCCCCTTCAGGACAGAGGGGCCTCCCCAGCCCCCCCAGGACAGATGGGGTCTCAGCCCCGCTCCTCCCATCCTGGAACCCACCCAAACCCCAGCCCTCCCCCTGAGCTTGGGGAGATGCAGGAGAGCACCAACCGTGAAACAGACTGGGGGGAGGGGGCAACTTCACCCCAAATACCCCCTGGGAGCTGGGCTGTAGCGGGAAATCGAGGTGGTGGTGCTGGGGAGGTGGGTGCAGGCACCTGTCAGGACTCCTGGGTCTCTCCCCGGCTCTGGGTGGGGAGTGGGGGCTAGTGGTTAGAGTGGGGGGAGGGGGGCTGGGAGCCAGGAGTCTCCAGCATGGCCTTGTCCCCACCTCCCATGCCAGGACCAACTCACTGGCCTCAGCCTTGCAGGTGTCTCTCCTCCCAGCAGGCCTGGGCTACAAAGAGCAGCGCCAGCAGCAGCACGGCGGCCCCCAGGCCCAGGCGCAGCGCATTGATCTGGCTGTAATCACTGTCCCCAGAACGTGAGCCTGGGGGGCGGGAAGGGGACAATGGAGAAAACACACGGTTAGAGATCGGCCGTCACCGCTAACGGCCTATGGGGAGATGGGGGAGAAAATCCACCCACACTGCTCCCGCCCCCGCCAAGAGGGGAGAGAACCCAGGAGTCCTGATCCCCACCCCGGGCTCTAACCGCTAGACCCCACGCTCCTCCCAGAGCTCGGAATACTCATCCCTCCATCCATCCCCCCCATAATCCTCCATCCATCCCTTCGCCTACACACCCCTCCGTCCATCCTCACCATCCTCACCTCTCCATCCATCCCCCCAGCCCTCCGTCCATCCATCCCTCCACCTACCC